AGTCCGACTCCAGGAGTTGAATCCGAGCGATAAAATCAGCACGCGTGCGTAAGTTAGCCACCCCTTCAGGCTCGCCCTCCGCGGGAAGCATAACGGCCCTCAGATCTTCAACCTCCCTTAGCAGCTGTTGGTTGTCACTCTCCAACCGCTCCTTATCAAGCTGGAGGAATTCTTTGTCTTCGAGGGCTCTGTCGGCTCTCTCCTTCTCCCCCGACAGCACATCAGACTGCTCCTAAAATATCTCCTCACTTTGTTCAAGAGCAATCTTAAGTTTGCGGGTTTTTTCCATGAGAGTCGCCTTCTCCGACTCCAACTCCTTGACCCGATCCGAGGAGTCTGACCCTTCACCCGCAAGGACAACTGCCATCTCAGCCATCTTTACCCCCCGATCATGCTGGCAGCAAGGTGCTTCCTTAGACCTTCCTTGTCGAGCCGTCTGATGATATTGGTCTCGTTGTCGGACACGGTCAAGGGAAACCCCTCAAAGAAGTCTTTTTTCACAAAACAGGGTGGTAGGCTGAAGGCCCGGGCACCCGCCCCTCCATCAGTCACATCAACTCCGCCTTCTGGTCGACTCTGTTTTTTACTCAGCAACGCATGTTGGTGCTCGATGTCACGTGAGCCCGATGACCCACTAGATCCTTCCCTGGCCGGCTCGGGGGCCGGACCCATACGCGTAGCTTGATGTGGCTTCACCAACCTTTTATTGATCTTCTTATGTTGGGTCAGCTTCAGCAATCTCTCTGTCTTTCTACCATGTGACCTGCAAAGAAAATGTGCTCGGGTTAGCTACATCGAAGAAACAAAAAAAAAGAAGGCTATCAATATAGTAGAGTAAGCAAGAAACCTAAGAGATCTATTGCCTGCCCGTAAGACTGACACTCGACGAGCGCCTTGGTGTTGATCGGATGTGCCTCGAACGTTGGCTCGCCGTCCTCATCAAGAATATCGTTTCCTTCCCCTGTGACCCATCGAGCGGGGAAGAAACCGTCAACGAATTTATTCAAGACGCCATATGCCTTCTCTTCCTCGACGCTCATACCGCCGACGAAAGTATGGTAATATTCAGGTCCATGGTCGTAATGTGCCGAGCACCAGTGGATGGGAAACTTTGATATTCTCCCCATCTCAGGATTACCCTTAGTGTCCAAACACGGCTCCTCATCCTCATCCACAACGGTAGCCGGTTCGAACAGCGAATCCACGACTGTCTGGGTAGATGGTTGCAAGATATACCATTTGTCCTTGAAATCCAAAACTGAATCCATGTACATCCTAAATAGCCTTTTCGACTGCTTAAGGGACACCCAACTATGTTTTCCTCCTCGGGACTGCCGTTGCAGGTGAAAGACCCTAAAGAATAGGAGAATCATCGCCCCGATCCTCAGGAAACGACACGTAAGTTCGAATGCCCGGATAAAGGCAATCGCATTAGGATGAATCTGGGAGGGAGCCAAGTTCAAGTGATTGAACACTCTCATCTGAAAGTCGTTGAAAGGAAGCCGTAGCCCGAGGTCTTTGAACACGATCTCATAGATGAGGAAGCCATCCTGAGTAAACTCCGAGCAAATACGAGTGTCCTGTGTCGGCCTCGTGATCTTAAAATTACTTCGAAACCCCTCATGGCCGCCGCCGTACTCGACGACCGTATAAGCTTGCCTATCGGTGTAACTATAGATCGAGGCTATCCCTCTGGGTTCCGCACCGACCCAATCCAGAGTAAGATCGTCGACGATGTCAACCAGATTAATGCTCTCCTCGGCAGTGCTGGTTCCCTCGGTGCCAATGTGCTCTGAAGACTCGGGAGTATCAGCCATTTACCTGCAAAGTACCGGAAACTGATGAATTCGACAACAAATCCGCTTTTCTGCGACACATACAAGGAGATTAAGCAACACTCAGACCAAGTCGACAGCCATTTGCACGAAAGAGGGGGAACATGTGGACCTCGATTAAGCACCGATCCTAACGGCGAACGCCTATATCTATCACAACTATACCGGGCACAAGAAGAATATCGCGAGCAAAGAATGAATTTCACGACCAAGTTCATAATATTGTTAGCCAAATACAAGGTCACGGGGAAAACTAGCCTAGATACTAACGAAAAGATGAATTTAACGACCAAGTTCATAAGTTTGTTAGCTAAACGCATGAATATCACGGGCGTGATCATAAATTATATACCAAAACGTATGAACGCCACGGGAATGCTCATGAATCAGACGCCTAAAACGCTTGAATTCCCCGGGCATAACCCCCAGACACGAAATCCTATTACTAAACACCATCAAAATCTATCTACAACACAAGATATCAAAGAAAAAGAACGCTTACTTGGAGGAAAGATGAAGAACGACGGTTGTTAAGATAGGTACACAGCGGACTGTGCGACAGTCTCAATTACTCTGGGAAAACGCACGGTGTTGACAGCAGAGAAAGTGTAGGAGCGCGAAAATGTGAAAGTAAGTTATGGGCCCTGAAGCCCTATTCATAGAGCTGGCGTGGATGTGAAACGTCGCGTTGAGCAATCACAAGCCGTCTTTCTCCTCGACACATACTTGTACAGGCAATGATGGCCCCTATTCCCTAGGCCATCATTATTGTTTCCAAGAACCACGCCACGTGTCTGGCTAGCGTATCATCCTCGAACACGCTCCGACCGCTGCACGAAGCAAAATCATAAACCGGCGACGTCCTCCGTCCGCGGTATATGTCGCGCGACGAGCCTCGCGAAGGGGCAAACTTGAATCAAGTCATAACTCCTTCACCAGGAGCAACGACTTGGGGGGCTCCTGTTCTGGACTGGGCCTGTCCTTGGCCCAACTTCCAGTGAGGCTCAATTCAAGCGTGTCAACCTGCTGCGTTGACCGGTATTATCCCCGAACACCCCCCGACCACAGAGGCCTTGTCGACCAAGACTGCTTCCCGTTGGTGCTCGCGGGGCCATCCTTGACGAGCGGGCGCTCCTCCTAAGCACCTTTCTCGTAGGACTGACTTCCAACCTCTCCAGATATTGCAGAGTCTTCGTGGTCCCAGAAATATCGTATCCTTATCCTCCTGGTCCTTCGAAGGACGTCATCCAGGTAGAAGACCACGTGCGGATCCATACTACTCACATAGAACCTGACAGTCTCTATGTTGGGCCTGTTTGATCGGCCCAATAAAGAGACATTGACCCATCACTGAGGACTATAAATACCCTCTCTTTCGAGAGGGTCAGATATTCAACATCTTTCTCTGAACTTGTACTTGTTTGCTCATGCCGCAACTTATTTTGCCATCAGAGTGTCTTGTGGATACCTCATTCTCATTCAACTTCTATCCGAACTAGCTGTGACTGTTCTGAATATTACTCAATTCTTATTTGTGTATAAATGCATTTATTGTTTCATATTTCAAAGAAAAACTGCAAAAATAATAGTAATAATTTATATCAGAATAAATAGTTTAAGTTTTTTATCCATTATTATGAATTCATTAATTTGATTTTTATAAAAAGATTATTTTTTATAAATTATTTATACATTTTGTCTAAAAAATAGTAGCTAACTATTGGATGTAGATTTTTTCTCTTTCTTACGAAGGTAATCCAACATATCGAAGGCCTCTACAGAAGATTTTTGTGGTCTGATAGTGATATTAGTAGCAAGAAGGGTCTTGTCTTGTTTCTTCGGACAAGGTCTACAGCCCTAAGGTGGCAAGTGGCCTTAACATAATCTCTTTAGTTGAATGGAATAAGACTACTATAGGCAAAATGCTTTAGAACCTGAATGCAAAAAAAGACAAGACGTGAATTAATTGATTCCACCATTTCTATCTGAAGGGCACTGATTGTAAAGTCTACCAACCTCTTATCCATTGTTCATGGATTTTGAAGGCCATTTTCAAGAACAAAGAGATCCGATGAATTCTGTTACTTGGCAAGATACACTACCAGAGATGTACAAGATGCTTAGGTATGACAAACCGAAAACTGGCTGGAGAAAGCTAATACTGACTAGGGATGGCTTATGTGTTTAGGTTATGAGTTTATTGTGATTTGCAGGAAATCATAACATTTATGCTGAGTGTGCGTATGTGAAAAATTTATGGAGTCACATGTTTGACTGGATGGAAATGATGCAGAGGCCTAGCAATTGGAACATTAATCTCGACTAGATCATTAGAATGACTAAAGGGAAATGCATGAGGTGCAAGAGGATTAAAGTGATCTTTGCTAAAACTCTCTAGAGCATCTGGACTACCCGAAACCTCGTCATATTTCAGAACAAAACCAAAGAGAACTACCCGAAACTTCATCATATTTCAGAACAAAACCAAAGAGAACCTAAGATATGGGGAAATCAAGGAGAGAGAACCTGCTTGTATGGAGAAGTATAAAAAGAAACCCAGAGATTGACTGCTAGTGTGTTGTCCTGGTGTAGTTTGTTTTTCTGTTGTTGATTTTCTTAACTTGTAGCCTGGATCTGCAGATGGGCTTTGTACGGAAACTGTTTTATAATATTATCTTTCTCCAAAAATAAATAAAAAAATAGTCAACTATAAAAAGTCAACAAAAAATGTCCCACTATCCAGCTGTTACCACTCCATCAACCGCTTCGCAATCCAGGATTAATAAATCTGGCAATGACTGAGGCTGTAAGCAATTTCTTCATCTAACTTTTACAAGATATCAGTAGTTGTACATGCTCATCTAGGTATGTATTTTATTTCCAACAATCAAAGATAACATTATAACCCCTTGTGTGAAACAAAAAGAAATGCTAAATTCAAAATCAATCTTGTACCAGTACATCAAAGACAGAAAAATAAATGACAACATAACAGGTAAACAAAATACTCAACAAATAACAAACTAGGAAAAATGCAAGCTATGTAAGAGTTTGCAGGGAATGAAGTTTTAATAAAACACGATTATCTTCAGTGAGCTCTTTAATGTGCTAACTGATAATAAAATAAAGCAACTCCAATATGAGAAAGGAAATATGACTACTGAATCACATAAACAGGTTGGGCCTGTTAGCCTTGTAGGTGGTTTTTAGGCTCCTGGATGGTGGCCTAATCTTCTTGAACACCAAGGGGAACTTGATTTTAGAGTTGTGGAACTGCTTAGTGCTCTCCCTTTTGCAAAGACTGGCTGGAATGGTGGCAGTCTTGATGATTTGAATGCATGGAAACCTGACCCTGTGACGAGATGCCATTTCATTGTACATTGTCTCAACAGCGCCGTTTAGAGTGGTATCACGATATTCCTTGTACATATTATGATAACCAGTACGGCTTTGGTATCTCAGCCATATACCATAGTTTTTTATCTTGGTGGGATTTTTCTCAAAGATCTGCAATGAGTAAAAGTATTATAAACCTTCATAGAAAGACTACTACAGTTAAAAGGTGCAACATAAAATAGTACCCAGGAATCTTACACCATGTATTCTTTCATCTCAATAAGCATTAATTTTCCAAGATAAGTAGAGTAATTGAAACAAGCAATTAAAGCTTAATTTTCAAGCCCAGCAATTAGTCATTCGGGTTTCATGCTAAACCCTCTAGGAAATACTTGAAGATAAGCATAAAATTTGAGGAGAAAATTGGAAAACATCATGTTATCTGTGCTAGGATTTGACATATTTAATCTTCAAAACAGCTTAAACTCAAAACTAAGCAAGCACTACTTATAGACTTAGAGTTAAGCCAAAATACCAAATTAAACAGAATAGCACCCCACCGACACACCCCCGGCCCACTATTCTTTCTCTCAACAAAAATTATAACCACTTGAAATCTAACTTTTAAACGAAAAGCATAAAAAATTGCAGAAGACCATAGAACCTTTTCCATGTCTAACCATAGAAATCTAATTTAATGAATTTATCATTCTCATCCCAAAACTAACAGAAATTAAGCAATAAATTAGTACCCTAAATCAAATCTCACAGGAGAGTTTCTTTCAAATCATTGTATTTACAATTCATACAATTTCATCATAACTGATTAAACTTAATAAACAAAAATCAGCTCTCCAGAGTCCAAAACTAAAATTAAAATTAGGTGATTATCTTATCAATCTTTAACTTTAACAAAAGCTTCACCATAGTTCTAAGTAAAATTCTATCTTAACAACACTACTATATTCTATCAAATTTCAATTTATTTCTACTGTTGATTGATTGATGAGCTTACCTCATTGATGGCCAGCACTTGTCCATTACTTTTCTTAACCTTCTTCAACTTCCTCAAGAAATACCTGAAATAATTAACATTGTTAAAAACCAAAACCTAAAAATCATATTAAATGTCAAATCATTATAAAAAAATAGAAAATACTACAATTTGTTAGTGAAATAGAGACGTACCAGAACTTGGATTTGGCGCGAACCTCATTGGTGGCCCAAAGCTTCATGCGGTAAATCTTAGGGTGCTCATCGGTTTCCGTGGGAAGACCCCTTCCGACGACCTGGTATTGGTGAAACTGTTTCAACAACAATCAAAACCGGATTAGGATTCAAACGAAAATCACTACAAAATGGAAGAGATTTGACGATTACTAGTACTATTTACTATCACCTACCTTTGCGTTAACCATTTTTTACGACGAGCAGCGATTCCGATTGTGACTCGCCGCCGATTCAAGTCGTGCTGTTGTGTAAAGGATGGACGAAGAAGAAAGAAATATGATATATACGTAAAACCCTAATGGACAGGGGGCTTTATGGGCCCGATGAGTTCAGCCCATTTAAGCGGCCCACTTTAACCAATTATCGTTCGATTCAGATAATGTAACGAGGATTTATCTCGAGACCTATCATATTATCTTTCGCACCCCCTTAATTTTTTTTTATTCCCAAAATGTTCCTATTATTATATACCTCCAAAAAAATTTACTATTGGTCAATGGCCAAAAAACCAAATTTTCGATAGACATAATTAATTTTTCGGTATAGAGCTTATGAGTTTATCAAAAATTATTTGCATTTCAAAATTTTTGATAGTGATTTATCGGAAATTACAAAATTTTCAGAGTGATTCATAAGAAAATTAGAAAAGCAAAAAATTTAGGTTCATTTTCTTAGGTGTGACTTATACTTTTTTTCAATGAAAATGTGATAAAGTGTATAATTTTCTTTTACACCTATGCAATTTCTTCTTATTGTTACTCTTTAAAAGATATTTAGGTATATTTGTCATATTTTTATTGGATAAAAGTATAAATCACACCTATAGAATTGTATCTAAGTATTCTCCATTAGAAAATTTATAGGAAATTTTTAGAATTTCCGGAACAAAACATAAAATCGAAAATTTTGCAGAAGTTTGAAATTTTCCGTATATATACAAATAAAATTTTGTATATGTGTGATCATAAACCGACAACTTCTTTTACAAATTCATGCACATGTTATATAATATAGGTTTCTTATTTGATTAATACAATATTATTTGTTTTCTGTCATTTATGAAATTAATTCAGTTTTTTTTTTTTAATGTTTGCGCAAATCGTAATTTGCTCGCGGCATTAATTATCAAATTGTGTTTAGTTTTTCATGAATGTTGCAAAGCATGTTCACTTTTTCATTAACGTTACACATTGTGTTCATTAGCTAAAAGCAAAGTTACAGTAGTTCATTTGTGGTGCATTTAGAAAAATATAAGTACACCAACTAAAACTTAGTCCATGCGCAAATTGATACAGTAAAGTAACTTGATACACCAACTATCCATCTATCTGTTGCAAAAGAGTTTAAAAACACCCACAATTGATGCAGTACACCAAAAATCACAAAGAACGCCAAACCACTGTAAATTGATGCAGTACACCAAAAAATATTTATCCCACCAAATATTTTACTTCAGGTTTTTCACTAAGTCTAAAGAAAGCCTCAAAGTTTTGATTCATAACAAGCAAAAATAAATGTCTGACTACAACTACAAATGTAGTCTTTAAGGAGGTTTTTCAATATATTTAAAAGGTATACTCATTTCTCTATTTTATATTTATTGTTTAAATTTCCATAACAATTATTTTTTTCTTTTTTCACGTTCAATATTTGTCTAATTTATATCTTGATGTAAAACAACCTTATCTATAAACATTATGTTCTAATATTATCGGTAAAATATTCATTTTGATCTTTTAATTATATTTTTGAATTCATATTGGTCTTTTAATTTTTTTCGTAACCCAAAAATATAGTTAAGGGATCAAAATAAATATTTTGTCATTTCTATTACTTCACTGGTAACGCACTATTTTTTTATGTTAATGCATTGTAATGTTTTTATTCAATGCAGATTACTACTTAGACTACTATTGAGGTGTTGAATAAATTTTTCAATAGTTGAATTGCTTCAATGGATTGTTGAATAAGTTTTTAAATGTGACATGAATTAATTTGTATTGAAAACATTCAACATGTTGAATGAGAAATGAGTGGGACCACTTATAATACTTTACAAAATATAATTGGTTGTTGTGATTGTTTATATTTTTATCTCACCTAAATTATTTGGAGTCAATTATTTTATAGAAAATCAATTATTTATTTATTTTTATTTTCACCAAAATTCATCATTTTTTTTGTCTATAAATAGAGTCTTGGTTCATTTGATTTGGACAAAGAAAAAAAATTATTTTTCTCTCTAATTTTTCTATTTAGCCTCCAATAAATTATTGTTTGTAGCTCTAAATAATTTTTTAGTGAAATGAATCCCAACAATAACCCTCTTAACACCCAAAATTCTACTAATTATCCTTTCAACTATCCAAATCTCAACTATATATTTCAAAATCAATCTTCCAACCAACAAGGTCTCCAAAATATATCAAATCTCATAATGTCGTCATCTAATCCAAACTATCGTTCATATTATGTATCTATGATGTCATATTCATCTCAAGCACCACCTTATTATTCTTCTACTCCAATGAGAAATAAAAATGTTCCTAATGTTAGACTTGATGAATTTTCCGATTTTTCTACACAAACGACTCTTGGTGGCATGAGCGGTGGTCATGGAGCCACTTCAAATGCAGAGGATTCAACTCGTGTTCGTCGGAAAAGCCCCAAATGGACCACTGATCAAAATTTGGTTCTAATTAGTAGGTGGATTAAATATGGAACAGACAATGTTGTTGGGAGAAACCAGAAAAGTGATTCATATTGAGGTAAAATTGTTTATTACTGTAATGAGCATTGCTCATTTGATCCTCCCTGTGATGGAGCTGCATGCAAAAATCATTACAACTACATGAACAAAATACTTAATAAATGGACAAGCGCTTATGATAACGCTAAGCGTATGCAAAAAAGCGGGTGGTGGGAGAATGATGTATTGGCAAAATTGCATGATTATATTCAAGTGGTAAGAGTGGACATTTCATTTTAATGTCAAAATGGCTCGCTCTCCGTGATCAACCACGTTATGTTAGTCAGGTAGGAGGAAATAGTGGATATGTAGATAGTGGACTTGGTAATCAAGCGCATCATTCTACCTCAAGGTGATCCCAGGGGAAAATGGACCCCTACGTACGAAGGGCCATTTGTGGTTAAGAACATCTTCTCAGGAGGAGCGATGATTCTAACCACCATGGACGGTGACGACCTTCCTCACCCCGTCAATGCAGACATAGTAAAAAGATACTACGCATGATTAAAGACCCGCTAAGTTGTCTGGCCTAGGCAAAAATAAGGGCGTCCCGGCGAACCAAAAGGGTTCGGGCAAAAATAAGGGATGAAAATTAAAAAAAATCTGTACACCCGGCAAGTCGAAAACCTGAAAAGGCGGCTTGGGAAAAAAAAGGGTATCCCGATGGACTGAAAACCCGAAAGGGCGGTCCAGGCAAAAGTTAGGGATAAGCGTAACACTATGTCTCATTGGATCACCCTGCATCCAGACTTTGGTATCAACTATCAGACTCGGACGGCAGCAATCAATCAAATTCATCTCCAACTAAGCAGCAAAGTGATGAGATGCTTAAAGATATAAAAGCGATAGCAGAGTTGGAACCCAGTGGGATTATTCACATAGCTGTTTTGTTTTCTTTTTACAAATTGTATAAATTTTATTTGTTCGGCGGCGTTCTCTTACTAGGACGTCAGCCTCTTGTACAAAAGCGCTTATTTACAGGCAAACTTCAAAATTAATACAAGCTCATTTTTCAGACAAATTGCAAATTGTTTTTTTCTTTATCTGTTTTGTTTTGCAAAGAACGTCCAATGTTCATTTTTGATATATGCATTTGACATTAATTGCTGCTCATAAATATTTGCATGCGAAACAAAGGACTAATTATGGGTGATATTAGAAGTAGGGGCAACAAGAAGTGTCTGAAAGGTCTAGTTGCTCTGTCCACCAAGGTACCAAGGTAGGTTCAGCTGAAGAATATGACCAAGATATCGTTACTACCCGCATAGTAAGACAGTAATGGTAGCTCTCCCCACTGAGAATTGCAACTATGAACGAATCAGCAATACTCTCCCCCAAGCAGAGTTAGTCTACCATCAGCCCTAAAAAGGCTTGGTATTCCCAGAAGGTCATAATATTCCCCAGCGGAGTATAAGGATATTCCCCAGCAAGCGTAAAAGAGCATCTCCGATAGTCTTAATATTCCTCAACGAAATATAAGAATGTTCCCCGGTGGAATACAAGATACCCCCAGTGGAGCCATTTCCCCAGCGCAGTCTAAAAAAAGTTTCCCCAATAGAGAATTGAATCATCTTACCCAGTAGATTCTGGAAGCTTGTCCCCTGCAAAATACAAATGCGTCTCCACAGCCAAATTCAGAGGTTATCCCCACAAGAGTCTAACTGGGTTATCCTCAGCAAGTTGCAACTGAAAGATCATCCCCAGCGAAGTTCTTTCTATCCCCAGTGGAGTTCATCATCAAAATCCCCAACAGAGCTTATCAACGGAATCCCCAGCAGAGTTATCGTTAAAATCTCAGCAAAGCATCTCTTCCCACAGAGTAATTCCCCGCAGAGTAATCTCTTCACCAGGTTTATTCCCCAACAGAGTCATCTTCTCCTACAGGTTTATTCTTGCAACCATCTCCGTGCATCATCCCCAGTGGAAACGAAGAATTCAACCATACTCTTTAACATCAGCCCCGGATTTAACAAACTCCCCGACATTTGTCAAGGATTTATTTTCCCAGACGAAAATACATTCATAAACATTTAACATTTCATACCTCCTATTTACATACATGATAAAGTGCATACGACACAATCTCATTTATTTTTGAGAACATCATGACATCATGCATTTCATACATCATGACATTGCATACAACTAACGTTTTACCTTTTTCAGGAAGAGGTCAATCAAAAGATGGCTACCATCAATCTTTTCAAAGTTCCAGATTAACACATGTAACAAGCCAGGAAAATATCTGTGGACAACTGATTGTAGATCAATACCTATAACAAGCCAGGAAAGTTATCTACATGAAGAGATTGAAGATCAATACCTGTAACAAGCCAGGAAGACCATTTTTCTTTCTCAGGTCAGAGATCAATACCTGTACCAGCCAGGACAACTATCTCATCGGCCAACCTTTTCAAGTTCCAGATTAACACCTGTAAC